AGCGGAAACCGACCGGAGATTCTAAAGTTGTCCGGCTTGATGTCGCCATGAATGATACCGGCATGCTTGTGCAGACCCTCCACCAGCCACAACAGCTCAAAGGCCAAATACGCGGAGAGCGCCTCCTCTTCGAACTTCTCTAGGACCAACGGCGGCCGCTGGGGGTGCCGGTTGCGCGCAGGAGCTGTAGAAGGTCGTCCGCAGTATCCATTTGCCGAGTAGTTTATCCAATCCAGGAGACCAACAGCGTAGTAGGGTATCAGGAGGGAGGTGTAGACGTAGGGACTGCAAGTGGCCGCCAGGACCGGGCAGATGGAGGGACGCTGGAGAAGATGACGGGAGAAAAGACAGAAGTTGGGCGTAGACTGACAGCAGAACTGCATCGGACGTTATACAGGCAATACAATTCCTGGTCAATAGTTGGAGCCAGAAACACATATGGGGTGTCCCACAGCGGCGACCCGGAGACTAGATCATAGCTCGCAACACATATCGCCCACCTAATTGATACGAACCACCAAGTGGACGTGAGAGAAGCCTTCCGGGTTATATACCACACGCCGACGCACTACTCAAAAGGCCTGCGCAAGCGGGTGTTAGCCACAGCAGAGGTAGTGGCAATCAGGTTAGCAAAACCCAGTCTATGATGTCAAAAGGCGCTGGTACAAGCAATATGTCTCCCTTGGCCGATTGCAAGCGGAAACCCCACGCCTACTGAAGCCACATCTTCTGAAAACACACAAAACGAAGCCACAGAGAATAGTCAAGCGCAAGCTACGCGGCTGACATACAGACCTCAACCCGCTGACCCTCAGAACATCCGCCCTGTCTTCGCTTCGCATCGCAACCAATGTCCTACCCACGAAGGCGCCCGCATGCAGGAGATGAGGGAAAACCCAGCTGCTTAATTACCCTCACCCACTAACCCTTTTCCCCCGCTTCCCCCCCAACCTGATGATTATATAAACGCTGCAATTAACTGACCAGTTTTATCCCCCATGTCATGAAATGGCCTGATGATGAATGACTGAAAACAATTGTTTGCCAAAAACGACTTTACATATCGAAGAGACTGGCCACGACTTCGATATTCAAGGAACGACAATCGTAGGCCGAGCCTCAAAAGCTGAAAAATTCACGCTTGAGGCATGGTGCTCAGACATCAATTCTGTCAACAGGCATCTGGACCTACCTGCGACCTACGAAGTCCTATGCCATTACGTAAGCAAAGGACAGGACACGGTCAAGCCATATATATATGGCGGGGGAATAGATATTTAGCGGACCCTACAAGTCAGTTTTGCCAAATATTTAATTGTGTTGGAAGCGATAAAAAATATTAAATTGAAGAGACATATATTTTAGTTCTGCAAATATTCCCATGCTTGATTTGAGAGGTCAAGTTGGCAAACACAGTGTTTTCAGCAAATCATCATCAGGCCACACATTTGCAGGGGTAATTAAAACTGTACAGTTAGACAGGGTTAATAAATGTAGTCTGATTACAATTCATCGTTTACGCGTCGCCCGCATGGCGTCGACTTTTCAGTACCCCAGCTTTCCCTTTTTTCGTTTCCGCCAATAGGAGGTCGAATTTGGATTTTCGTTAAATTCCGCATACATAAGGTCGAATTTACCCCAATTGGCATCCGTAACATGCGCAACGACAGTTCATGTTGATGGCATTTTATTCTATTTTAGTATATTAAAACAAAAATAATCTTATTTAATTTAATATTTTTTGATCACTTCCGTCACAACTACCTATTCATTTACACTCACTAGCCAAGAATTAAATTTTTAACAACAAAATACGCTAAGCAGTTGGGCGGGGGAGTGGATATTTAGCAGACCCTACAAGTCAGTTTTGCCAAATATTGAATTTTGTTGGAAGCGATCAAAAATATTAAATTGAAGAGACTTATATCTGTTTGAATGTACTAAATAAAATCAACTCCATCAACCTAAACTCCTGTTGCCCAGGCGACTGATGCCTATTCAGAGAAATTCAACCTTATATTGGCGGAATTTTAAGAAAAAAGGACAATCGGGTTACTGAAAATTTAAAAGTAGGTGATCGTTGCAAGTAAAAGGCAAATAGAATTTCGAAAGACAGTCCTATCCCAAATTTTATCACACCAGGACTGAGTCAAATGAATGGTGGGATAGGATACTTACAACATCAAAGGCGATTTTGCCGCAGTTGAAAGCCGAGGCCAGGCGTCGACGAACCTCTCGCATGTAATAGAATTCCAGTGGAATGTCACAGACTTGTACCTTCACCACCCGCATCAGACCGCCAGCAGAATCTGGCGGATGGTCGACAGCTGCAGTGTGCGCCTTCGATTCGGAAGTCTCCTGCTGCTGCTGTGCGCACAGACTCACTGCCCAGATTTTGCCATGTCCGCCTGCACTC